TGTGCCCAAGGCAGAGGAAACTCTTTGGGATGGATGAGCAGAATTTTTAACTCGGTCATTTTTAAGAGTTGGAACAGAAGCTTTGGGTAACACCCTGATGAGAGAAATTAGAACATGCATGCCTCCAGAGTTTCTCCTGTGAAATGAAGGGTGAAGAAGAGCCAGAGGAGAGTGGAAGTATAATACAATTCCAGAGTGACAAAAGCAGGAAATTTTTCAATTAAAACTTAATACTCCAGTTAGTGTAATACTGCATAGTGGCGTGCAAAGGCTGTCCTGTGAGTAAGGAAACCCAGTCAGAATTCTCTTTATGTGGCTGGCTGCCCCACTCAGTGGGACTGTGCTGTTCGGGGTGGGCAGGGGAGGTCCAGGGTCTGGTCCCAGTTGGGGCAGCCACTGGGATGGCTGCTGAGTGCCAGGCACTGGTTGCATTGGGCTGGCTTCTCCAAGCTGCCCAATCTGTGGGCATGACAGGGGGCTGCTTATTTAGTCTGCATCAGCTTCCCAGCACAGAGAAGTGAAACCTGTAGGATCTCCAGGTAGGTTTCATAAAGCCACGTGCCTCCCAGTACCATTCCTGGTTCCAGTGCTGGATGAGCTGTGCTGCTTGATGTCTCGGGCAGCCAAAGGGTACAGTCCCTGTATCTGTCTGTGTGCTCTGCCTATAAAACAGAAACAACACTTTGTTCCTACATGATTATTTTTCGATTGATTGCCAGAGGTGCAGTAAGATTCATACTCCAGAATAACAACACCTTGGCTGTAAGTATTTTGAGAATCCTGAGTTGCACGTTTAGAGCCCACAGGTTGTGCTATAGAATAAAATAAGGTTTGATCAAACTGAGAAGGAAATACAATGTGCTGTGTTCCATGCTTGATCCTGGCAGACTTGGGTTCTTCGTGGTGCTGTTCCGTGATGTTACGGTGGGAAGTCCTTCTTGGGATTGCAACTTGTGCAGCCATTATTTATTTTTTAATGATGTATCGCTATCTCTGTCAGGTAAACGTATCAGACACTCTAGTCCAGTAAATTTAGTGGCTTCTCCTCGCTGTATTTCTGTTCAATCTGTGAAATGCTGATGGAATCAGCTTACCAGGCTCGAAAGCAGGGTGTGATGCAGCTAGCACTTTGTTATGAAACATACTCAGAGAAAGTGTAAGACTATTTTATTTTTCTTTTTCCCACGTGTTAAGATTTTTCTGAAGTACAGGATGAAAACCTGCTCGTTTACTGCTATTTGCTGTCATAAATACAGTGAACTGATGCTCTTACGTGTCGCAGAGAACTCTCTCCGTGCATCCTAAGTAGGTCTTGGGTGTCGGTGTACTTCAGTATGACTGTAAAGCCAAGTGACACAATCTCTCCATGTTGAAATCAGGTTTATTACAGTGTAATTTCCTTCTAAAAACAAGTCTCCTTTTAAAGACTTTTATCTAAAATTACTAATGAATGTAATGGCGTTAAATAATAAAATAGTGTTATGATGCCAAAAATAACTTCTTGGTCTCTTTGATCTTCATTTTGGCTAAAGATACAAAATTCCACTAGAGACTCTTGTAAACAATTCCATTAATCCAAACAAATTGTTTTGAAAACCAGCGACGATAGTAGATGTTGATTAAGACAGTGAATAACCTTGAGTTTTAATTTTCAATACAGCTTGAGTTAACTCCGCATTAATTGGAGTCGCGCCTCTAAGTCACGTTGTACTGCTCTGAAATCTGCGTGTGGCTACTTCTGTTTCTCTTGGCTTTAATTAATCATTCTCTTGTTTCTTGGCAGCAGCCGTCGTTACTGGGCAGGGAAATAGGGTTCCAGGTGTAATCTTGAGCCTTTACAGCTCAGGATGCCTTCTGCATCCTGGGGCTGTGCAGCCCAGGTGCTCCTGGAGCACGGAGCCTCGGAGCAGATGGAACACAGATATCTGTAGTATTTCCAACTGGGGTGCCGGTGGGGCTGTTCTCTAGCAGTCTTTAAGCCTTTTTTCCATCACCCAAAAAGTTCAAATTTTGTTTTTCCTCCATGATTTAGTAACATTCAGTGCATGTGTAATGTAGGTTTGTGTGTTTTTGCATGCTGCTTAATTTTTTGTTTTACCGTAAAACTTTACATGAAGAATAAGAGTAAGAAGAGTAATCTTTCTTACTCTTTACAGTAAAAGTAAGAAGGATCCCATTGAAAGAGATGCAGACGTGTTATTTGTGTCTAAAAAAAGAAATACACCTGGTTCTGACAACGCATCATTACATGTTTGTAAAGAATGCACTGATTGATTATCTCGATTATTATAGATTATCTCGAATTGCGTCGATTAGAGATAATTCGGTAGAGTTAATAAAGAGAAGTGCCCTGAGAGCTGCAGTGTCTGTACGGCTTGGCCCTTTGTGCACTTTGGGGACCTCATTTCTGATTGCCTTGTTCTTTCAAAGTTCCCTGATGGGAGAGGGGAACAATTAGCTCCCATAAAGCGGAAGCCCGGGAACAGCTGGGCCCACTAATGACGGACAGTATGGATTTGTGCTGTGCCATACATGAATTTCTCCCCTGGGATAGTCCCTCCGTATTATCCCGTCTTGTCTTACGTTACTAAAACATTGATCCGGGGCAAATCTTGTGCCTGGTGGATGTAACAGGTCTGTTCCAGCTGGTCTGGAGGAGCGGAGGCAGAAAGAGGGCTCTTGCTTGGTCAGTTCCCCACCACGAAGCCTGCAAAGAAAGCGAAGAGTTTGCCAGATGGGATAGGAAGCCTTGGCTGACTCCCAGGTCTTCCTGTAAGCTGGTTCACCAAATTACAGATGAAAAATAATTAATGTTTTCTAGATTTTGATTATCAGGTTTTTGCCTGTTTTCCTTATTGCTCCTGTTTTTTTGAATGCTACCTTAAAGGTCAAGCACACGGAGGCTAAATTAGCAACTCGGTGTGTGTGACTGGTAGTGGGGACAGAGAGTGAACTTGGTGGTTGGAGTGCTCAGCTTGTCCTTTATCACACACTTCTCACCTGAATGCCATTCTTGCCATGGGAGGATAGCTGCTAGAAGGTTTAAGTGCCCACATGCTGAATAGCAGTGAAGAATAGAAGAACAGGAGATGCCTGAAAAGCCACAGGCAGAGGAGTTGGTGCCCCTGTAAGGGATGGCAGTCACGGTTTGGGATATGCACGTTAACCCCAGGTTGTAAGCTTCCAAGGAAAAGCAAGAAAGCAGCTGTAGGAGGAGGTAGGAAATTTCTAGCAATGTCAAAATACATGCAGAAAACAGCGTTTCTGGGTATGAATATTTCAGCTCGTGTTGTTCAGAACGTCCTTGTGGTACCCAAGATGCTGTGTGTGAAAAGGACTTGGTGCGAGTGTGGTAGTAAAGGGGGGAGATGAGGGAGATGGCACCTTGCATTTTTGCAGAAGATCTTTGTGGGGAGGGGGGGATTGTGTTATTTTAATTTTTAGTTTAAGCATTTGTAAGGCTCCCTCTGTAGGCGTCAAAGGAGGAAAAGCTTCTCCAAGGGTTGATTTAGAACATGTAAATGGGGTATCTGTCTGGATCTCCCTTTGGAGGAACTCCGTCAGAGGAGGCTTTCTCTTTGCATTGGCTACAGAGAGCCTGTGGTGATGGCCACCACAAGTTGCTAGGCCTTTCTGACTATTCCCCTGACTGTGTGTGGGGAAAATTCCCATAAATGCTCAGTGAAAAGTAATGTAAATATTTTATTCCTCTGTCTCTGAGAGAAAGAAGTTTGTGTGGTTCATAACGGTGCACTATTGAAGAACACAATGTAGGCAGTTTGTCCCTACCCTGACTCTGTGAAATACATCTTTCAGATATTTTAATCTGTTTTGTGGACACCTGTATACAACTTCCAGTCATTAACGTTTGATTTATTTAACTGTGTGTGCGGTGGGGAAGTACTAGATTCCACATCTCATCTAAGGGCTTGCTTTTAATAAATTGCCCTTTTCTGATGGTCCCTCAGAGCTCTAAGGAGAGATGCCATTGTACTTGGTAACTAGAAACAATACATTTAAAAAAAATAACTAGCTATTACTGTAATGATGCTTGCAGGAAACAAATGAAATGAATTTATCTACTCTGTGCCAGAGTTCCTCTGAATTTTGCTGGACGTAAAGGGCTGCATCTGTTTTTTTTTAAATGCGTTGTTAGTCAAGACGATGATGATGTGTTTATGATATTACAGCAGCACAGAAATTTGTGGCACTGTATAAAGACATTTTTATTTCAGCTCTAATCATAGGCAATCTAAACATAGCTTGCTGACTGAGAAGCACATGTAATATGGTAAACTGTCAAATATATGGGTTAACTGTCTGTCAATCAGTTCTTCTGAGCCACCACTGCTGCGTGTGTACTACTTATTCTCTGGTTATGGGGAGAGAGTGCATATTTAGTTTAGCGTCTTCTCCAGGGAGTAAAAGAAGCAGTTTTTCCAGCTCTGGTCCTGGCACAATTACTATCAGCTTTTTCAGAAGCTGGGTGCTGAGTACAGAGCGATGCCCCGGGCTCCCTGGCTGGTGCCAAGGGAAGTGCTGGCTGAAAACATCCCATTCCAGTGTTTGGGAAGTGTGTGCTCGGGGCTCACAGCTGCGGCCGCGGTTAAAGACTGAACCATTCCTGTGTTACGCTGGCATTAAAATACAGAGTGTCACTTCCAGTGGGAGTTGGAGGCGCTTGGATTTAGGTTTGCTTCCCATGCTTGTAGCAATTGCTGTACAATATTGAGCCCTGGCATAAGAAACTCACGTGAAACTAAACGTTACGAGGTGTTGTGAGTCTGGATTTTTGTTTGAATTGCATGCTACTCTTGAACTGCCCCTTAACTAGATGGGTAACTAGGAGCTCAAAATGCACATTTGATTAGAGTAGTTGCTGTTTCATTCTCCTGTGGGTTTTTTTCTGACCTTCTGTTCTTTTTTTTTCTTCTTTTTTAGTCTTCATGAAGAAATCATTGCCTGACCTTCTGTTCTTTTTGTTTTTTTTTCTTTTTTAGTCTTCATGAAGAAATCATTGACTTTTATAAGTATATGTCTCCCAGACCTGAAGAAGAGAGAATGCGGATGGAAGTGGTGAACAGGATAGAAAACGTTATAAAAGAGCTCTGGCCTAATGCAGATGTGAGTAATATTTGTTATATTTGTTAACATAAAAAAAAGCAACCTTTTATGCCCGCTTACTTTGTGAAATATTGAATAATGAAAAGACTGTTTATTTTTCTATATTAAAAACAACCATTAATAAAAAAACCCAGGGCACCATCCCTGGAGGTATTTAAACAACGGGTTGACATAGTGCTTAGTGACATGGCTTAGTGATGGTTTTTATCAGAGTTAGGTTGGTGGTGGGACTAGATGATCTTAAAGGTCCTTTCCAACTTTGATGATTCTATGATTTCTGGTCAAATGAGAGGTGATCTTTATTTCTAGAATAATACATGTCAACATTTTCTATCACACACAGAAACAAAGAGAAGCTAGACCTACTGCAGTCAAAGAAAGGGCATAAGGTGTGGCAACATTTAGTCTCATTAATAATTGTTTACTGAGATTAATGGGAACATATCAGGCATGCAGGTGTGCTTGTAAAGTATTGTATTTAAAGGAAAATCTTCTGAAACTCATAGCTTTACTGAAAAAGTCTGTAGCAGGGCTCCTAGTCCAAAGACCAGTGGTCTTGAATCAGTCTGTTAAGGTGGAATGCCAGCACTGCCACGTTACGCAGACCATGTTATTTTTAATGGGCAGTTCAACTAAACTGACGTTTCTTACAAAATTAAAGGAACAAATTTTTTATACAGGAACAAACAAGTCTGTAGATCTCTGTATTGAGCTTAAAATCTGTAATGCCTCTTTCTGCTGATGATGGGTTTTTGCTAGTATTTCATTCAGTCAAAACAAGAGTTTTTCCTCTGAGAAGAGCTGCGCTTTTTGTATTAAAGGTTGGATTAAAGAGAAGCCAGAAAAGTTGCTTTTACAACTCAGGATGGTTTTATGGAGACACAGTTGGATTTTTAGCATAATTGAATCTAAAATGGTGTTCATTCCCAGAATGCAAATTTGTAGCCATAATCATCTATCTGTAGATAACAGTGGCTGAAAATGAGGACTTGTTAGCCAGAATAGCAAATCAAATCCAGACAGCAAAATCTTTAGTATAAAGAATGCTCTTTGATCCTGCCAGGGTAAAAGATAGTGTTTTGACATGAGTGACTTAAACCCACTGCTCATTTCAGATCTTCTTAACCTATTTTTTGGAATGTGTTTTTTAGAAACTGGCGGAATACGGCAGAATGTGAATTCTGTATAAGCTGGATGTATGTGGTGTGTGGGGTTGTGTGTAAAATATGCTCACGTGTTCAAGGTGGTTCCTGTTGTTATGGACACGTTGTTATTAGTAACGCGTAGTGTAGAAGGAGCACACTCTGCTCGGTGACAGCCACCCTGGCACAGGTACAGCGAGCTGGTAGAGTCAGTGTCTGGTGATGTTCTCTTGGAGCAAAAGCAATAACCTTTCCAAAGGAGGTGTGGAAGAGACTTCATCATCTCTCAGGGGTGTTAGATAGCTCTTCTCTGACCCAGGCAGACACTGCAGTAGGCTCTAATTGGGAGCAGGAGGAGCAGTGGAAACACTGTGGGTACAAAGCAGTGCTTACTGTCACATGCCCTGCCAAAGCCTTGGAGTAGGTCCTCTTCAGTATATTCATCAATGACCTGGATGAATGGATGGAATGTACCCTCAGCAGGTTTGCTGACGATACGAAACTGGGAGGGGTGGCTGAAACACCAGAAGGCTGTGCCACCATCCAGTGGGACCAGGACAGGCTGGAGAGTTGGGCAGAGAGGAACCTGATGAGCTTCAACAAAGGCAAGTGTAGGTTGCTGAACCTGGGGAGGAATAACCCCATGGACCAGTACAGGTTGGGGGTGACCTTCTGGAGAGCGGCTCTGAGGAAAAAGACCTGGGAGTCCTGGTGGACCATAGGATGACCATGAGCCAGCAATGTGCCCTTGTGGCCAAGGCCAATGGCATCCTGGGGGGCATCAGGAAGAGTGTGACCAGCAGGTCAAGGGAGGTCATCCTGCCCCTCTGCTCTGCCCTGGGGAGGCCCCATCTGGAGCACTGGGTCCAGTTCTGGGTCCCCCAGTTCAAGAAGGACAGGGAACTGCTGGAGAGGGGACAGCAAAGGGCTACAAAGATGATGAGGGGCCTGGAGCATCTCCCTTAGGAGTAAAGGCTGAGGGACTTGGGTCTTTTTAGTCTGGAGAAGAGAAGACTGAGGGGGGATCTGATGAACACCAATAAATACTTCAAGGGTGGGTGTCAGGAGGATGGGGCCAGTCTTTTTTCAGTGGTGCCCAGTGACAGGACAGGAGGAAATGGACACAAACTTGAACATAAGAAGTCCCATCTAAACATGAGGCAGAACTTCTTTCCCTTGAGGGTGACAGAGCACTGGAACAAGACTGCCCAGGGAGGTGGTGGAGTCTCCCATCTCTGGAGACATTCAAAACCCGCCTGGACACGTTCCTGTGCAACCTGCTCTGGGTGGACCTGCTTTGGCAGGGGGTTGGACTAGATGATCTCCAGAGGTCCCTTCCAACCTCATATCATTCTGTGATTCTGTGATTTCACCAAAATAACTGATTACTTCAGCCTAGAGAAGATGCTGCTATTTCCTGGGCAAGTTTGGGGTGGATGGATTTGTTACCAGGGGATCTTTCTTTGCCACCAGTAGCACGTGGAATGGGGAGCACAGGAACTTCGTGCTTCCAGAGATACTCTGTTTGTAGGACAGACTTAATCTGTGAAAGCTAAGTCTTTTATAGTAAAAATAAATTAGAGAGCAAGAGTGTGCTGGTTCCCTCTGCTCAAGTCAGTAACTGCTCCTCAAAGCCCAGCTCTGCATTTTCTCTGCTGTTGGTACCTCGAGGAAGAATTCTCCTCTTGTACACCCTTCCGTTTTCTGGAGGCTGGGGGGGAATGGACAGTGACAGCAGTGTGCCAGGTTATAACCTGGAAATTACCATCATGTTCTTTTTCTAATACTTACCTCGCAGATCTGCTTGGGAACTGAACTGCAGAACTCAGCTGCGTTCAACTTTGACAGTCTTTTGTTGTAATTTTTCAGTCGCTCGAGTTAATCACTAACCCTCTGGAAGTCTGTGTTGGTTTAGCTACTTGTAAGATTGAGGTTTTGAGTACATGCTCTGAGAAGGCGGAGTGTTATCTGGTCCAATGTCCTCAGCTTTAGCTGTCGTGTAAAGCGATAAGTTAATGTTTAAGCTGTTCATTTTGAGCCATAGATGCAGCGAATCCAGCTAAAATAAACTGGTAAGTTAAACACACACATTTAGTTTGTAGTTGCTCACTAACTGGGTAGGTAAGACATACTCTGTGAAAATCAGATACCAAGAAAAGGAAAATGAGCCTTCATGAATCTAAATGTATAGAGAGTGTGTGGAATGTGGCTGTGCACATATTTTGGCTTTTTTTTTTTCCTGTTCCATTTCGGAAAATGCTGAAAAAGCAGATGGGGGGGGTTAAAACTAGGTATCCTGAACTGTTACTTTATTTATAGAAGTTAGCAATTGTGTCATTTGCGCTCTTACTCAAGGGAATGTGCTTAGAAGGAAACATTCCTAGTAAGTGAGAACTGTTCTTGGCATCAGCGAGGCTCTGACCATAAGAAAGGCTTTAATTACACTGAAACGGAACAGCCCAAAACAGTAAATGAAAACATTTTAAGACAAAGTTTTTTGACGAGTTGACTATGAAAATTTAACTCCTGAATAAATAAGTACTTACACAGTGGAATTTAGGAGACATTAATCATAATGCCCTCAGCTTCATGTCTATTCTGTGGCCTCATAGATGTGAAAAGAAGCAATGTTGCGTACTTCGCGTTGCTTCAGTTATGAAAATACTATGATTGGGAATGAAAGTAGAAAGATGAACTCTACTTAATTTGGCAAACTTCAGAAAATTCCACTTAGTGATGTAGAAGGAAGGGAAAATTAAATTGGCTGCGGATAGATTGTTTTGTTTTGATGGAGGGATTTTGGTAGCAAGGACTTTCCAAGCTTTTGTGGTTTTCCAAGTTGTGTTGTGCGTAGTGAGGATGTATTTGGACACATACCGTAACTAAAGCGCCTTCAGGAACTTTGGAATTTAACATGAACAAGTTCTCAGAAATGTAAGATAAATACCACACAGGAGTAGGAGTACGTGACAAGCATCTTAACTTATCTTACAAATGCAAATGCATATCTCTGTCCGCATAGAATAAAAACATAATTGGCAGTGTTGGCACACCACAAAAACTAATGCCTACGTCTCTCAAGCCATAGTAGTGTCCTGTAGTTGAGATGCTTTAAATATGTACGTGTCTACAGAGCTTCAACAGTTTAAATTCCTATTCAATAGTAAATCAAAAATCCTTTAAAATTTTTGTTCTGATTTCCCCACTCTTCCATTTCCATCTTTCCAGATTTGAGGAGAGAAGGATTGAAGTGTGGGTGTGGGTTTCTTTTATAATAATTGAGTGTTTTTCATACTCCAAATTATTGTACAATAGCAGATGTTGCCTCATTCCTTTTGGTAAAGGTCATATAAGTTGTATCAGTAAGTTTATGAATACTTTCAGGGTTGTTTATTCACTAAAGGCTCGCTTTGCTGTTCAGCTGAACACACCATTTTGTTTGATAATGTGAAAGCACATTCAGTTTTTTCCAAACTCCATCAGTGGTTGATTTATTGTGCAAAAGCACTTTGCAGATGTTTTTGGTGGCCAAATAAATCCTTGTTTGACTGAACCCAGTTTCACAGAGGACGCTTATATTAGTGCCCTGGATTAAAAATAGTAATAATAATTATTATTACATTCTTAGCTTTGTGATGCCTTTATGCTTTTGTCAAGATCTAGTAGATGATCGATGCTAGTTCTGTGGCATCTCCTGCAGCCTTCTCTAGTTTGAGCAGCTCTGAGCTTTCAACATTACGTTTACTGCCAGTGTGCTTTTTGTTGGCGGTGAGGGGGCAAAAATAGTGAAATGTTATAAAATAATCAAGAGGAAGCACTCATACTGCTGCTTAGTCTACTCTAGTATCAAGACACTTACTTGCAAAACATCATCTCTTCCCATCTCCCCCTTTTTCTTATCCAGAAGGGCAAAAAGTTAAAAAGAGGGTCACTTGACGTACAAATAGGTGGCAATCAAGCTAGTGCATGAGACTCATTAAAGCAGAATACACAAGTCTGTAAGGTGGCTCCAGGAAACGCATCAGAAGACTCTCTGGTTGAAAATTAGTCCAATCGTGTAGATGTTTTCACTTTGAAGTCTCACCAGTCCCCCTTTGAGACTTAGTGCATGAGCCCGACCTCCCTGCGAGGCTTGGCTGAGTTAATGGGAGTGTGGGTTTGGACAGCTTGCTGTGGAAAGCCCAGCATTTCAACCTTCAGCGCCAGTCAGAATCCAGCACAATAAACTGTGGCATGTGAAACTTTCTGAAACTCTTTTTTTGTTTGTGGTTTAATCAGAAATAAGCAGAGTTGTGCTACTTGCCCAGAGAAGCTGTGGCTGCCCCATCCCTGGAGGGGTTCAAGGCCAGGCTGGATGGGGCTTGGAGCAACCTGGTCTGGTGGGAGGTGTCCCTGCCCAGGGCAGGGGGTTGGAACTGGATGATCTTTAAGGTCCCTTCCAACCTGGACCATTCTGTGATTCTGTGCTCTGTAATTCAGAAAAAAAATATTGTAATGCAGAAAAAAACCAATGAAGTATGCAAAGCATATTTAAAGCATGTATTTAAACTTAAGCTTAGAAAATGTGTTTAAAAACTAAAGATTATACTTTGGGATATGAAAGCAAAAAATAAATTGAACGTATACTGGGTTTTTAAATGTTCTGTCATTCTTAAGTGTTTTTAAATCTTGTGGTTTATGGGTTTTGCCAAATTTGGTCATGGTGAATTTTTTCACATTACAAAGAAGGTTTTGTAATAAAAAAAGGTCAAAGTTATTAATCTTTTGTGCGTAATAAGCATGATGATTAGCTGTTTATACTGCATTGAAGATGTAAGTACTTTAATAGAAAGCAGTACTTTTGCCTGTCAGCAATACCAAAATCTGCCAATGGAGGGTAGCAATAACCAGCCTTTACAGGCAACTTCATAGAACTTGTTTGTCTTCTGAAGCCTGAAAATCTGTTTTCATGTATTTTGTTCTTGTGTTTCAGGTGCAGATATTTGGAAGTTTTAAAACCGGTTTATATTTACCTACAAGGTTAGTAATTTTTCAGTGTAAATTCTGTACAAGAGAAAAAAATGTGTACCTCTGTAGTGATTTATCTGGTCTTCCAATATCTATGTTATACTTGTTATATTAAGAAAGTGTTAAGTTATTAGTGCTCTGTAAAATCTACAGAAATTTAAGACTATAATACATGTGTCCATATAGGTTTTGCATATATCAGTAAAAGATCTGAATCACCATGTTGTCAAAAAAGGCTTATTTTGTGATTTGGCTTCATTAAATGCCTGAACCAAAATAAGAGGTTGGCCTTAAAAGAAAAGCTAAATTTTATCTCCACAGACAGTTAAATTCAAACATTTAATGTTACCTTGTTAATGTTAACGTTAACACTGAAAAGATTACGTACAGAATTTTTTTTTTCAGTCTTCTGTGAAATTCGTACAATAGTCGACCTCTATCTTTTCCAAGTTTATTACTAGTTTTCATAAATCATTACTCAGTGACACTGGTATCTTCTGTGTAGAAATTGTAAGTGGTTTTGATAATTAAATAAAATGAAAGGCTTAAATGGCTGCAGGGGATAAACACATTTAAATATCTACGTCTGAGGTTCACACGAATTGAGTTCTGTACGTTGGGAACAAGAGGAATTAAGATCTAGTACTGACTGTAAGTGATGGGTACCCAACTCATTGTTTCATCTCTTCATATTGAAGGCTCTTTGAAAAAGAATGCATCTGACAGATGCTTTAGTATCTGCTTTGGTCTGTGGAGCTGCAGGAAAGGTGAATTGCTCGGTTTCAGTTTGGAAAGTCAGAAGTGAGCTGTACGAATACACAATTGCTTTCACATTTGGCCTTATTCTTGGCCTTTTTTCCATTGATTTTCAATAGGCTTGATTAAACTTGGTTGGTTGCTGATAACGCAAGAGAGATATTCCTGTCCACGTGACTGATAGCAATAGTTCTTTACTAGATTTGCTTGATCATTTTGAAACTGATGTATTGAAACCACTTTGCTGTTGTCTATTTTATTTCGTATACTGCCTTTCCTCTGTAGTTGTTTCAGCTGAGTTTTTGGAGAAGAATAAATGCAGATGCTTTACACACAGTACATAAACCTACAAAAACTCTTCCTGTGGCAGTTCTTGCCAAACTTTCAAAATAACCAGCATTTTTGTGTTGGTAATTAGTTCACGGTTGCCTTCTATCAAAGCATCTCTTTGCCCTAGGTGTTGTCCACCCAACTGTGCAGTTAATGTAGATTTCAGGTTCTGGGATTCAGAAAGACCTACAGTGCATTTTTAATTCTGCTACTCTGTGTTGAATTTGCCTTTTACTGAAGGCGATATTGAAGGTTTGGGCATACGGTTGTTTCGCTGCTTATTTTCTATCTGTCCTCAAGGTGACAACGGAGCTGTTGTTTTTCCCTCATGGTGTGCATCAGAAAAATGTCTCCGGTTGTTAACTGTCAGCATCAGGAGCGGGTTTAACGCTAATTTAGTTGAAAAGAGAAGTGTCCAGCAGCATTTCCTGCTCTACAGGCAGGTTTTGAAGGTGGTTTTCTGAAGCTGGCTGAGTGGTGTGCAGCTCAACTGCTGCTGGACTTGCCCGTCCTGACACTGCTGGTCACCAGGAGATATTTCATCTAATGCAGCTGTAGCTCCTTTGAGATTGTTACAGCAGTGGTGTTTGTGAATTGTCAGACTTGTAGAATCTACAGGAGGAAAAAAGTATTCCTAATTTTTTTGGTGTTTTCTGTTACGCAGTTTCCCACAGGTGTGACTATAGGGTTATATGCTCACCTCCTTTGTGTCCCCAGCCAAGCAGGGGACATCAAAGAAGTAGTTGGGGAGTGAAGAGGAAAAAGCTCAGGATCTCACAGGGGCCTTCGCTGTCTTCAGCTTGGACACCAGTCCCCTTTTGAGTTGGAGTTCAGGAGTTAAATTAGGGTGTGAGCTCCTTGTGTAGTCAAATGGATGTCTATACATACAGGGGGGAAGTGTAGCAGGGTGGAAATGCCTCTTCAAGGAGCTAAATTCACGAGTGAAGTTAATTAGATGGTTTGATCTCATTTAACAGCTTGTTGCTTCTTGAAGTCTAAGCTGCCACGTTTTCCTCTCTCCTTCCCTGCTTCCTCCCCTTGGCAGTAGATGCTGGTTACCATGTGCCCACTGCTGCTCTGGGCATTTAACAGCTTATTGCTTCTTGAAGTCTAAGCTGCCACGTTTTCCTCTCTCCTTCCCTGCTTCCTCCCCTTGGCAGTAGATGCTGGTTACCATGTGCCCACTGCTGCTCTGGGCACACAGAAAACCAACTTGGAGCTACAAAGAAGCAGAAAATTACCCCAGAATGTTTTGAGGGCTTTTTAAAGGTGTGGGGGGGAGTTGGTTTCTGCCAGGCCCACTAATATGTTGAATTGATTTGCTGTGGATGAGACAAATACCAGGCCTAGAGCAAAAGAGGAGACCGAGCCGTGCATCTGGGGTGGAGGGTTGGGAACAGGGCTGTCCCTTTCAGTGACAAGCTGTAAAATCGGCCTTACTGATTAACACAGCCAAAGGGGGTGATTCACAACAAGCTCCTTTCTTGCTCTGAATCACTGGGGAGAAGCTGATAGCTCTCTGCTGGCAGTGTGGCCCGAGGAGACTAATGTCTGTCCCCTCCCCTTGGTAACCTGAAATGGTCTGTTTTTCCCCAAGTGCAAGAGTTCATCCCCCCACCCCCTTTCCCCAGAAAATGAAGAATAAATTATTTGGTTAAGCTCCATTCTGTCAGCTTTATTCTAGTTGTGTGTGGACGTCAGTTGTTTATCTTTTAATTTGAATAAATCTGTATTTTCTTTCCATTTCAGTGATATCGATTTAGTTGTGTTTGGAAAATGGGAGACGTTACCTCTTTGGACCCTGGAAGAAGCTCTTAGAAAGCACAATGTAGCAGATGAAAACTCAGTGAAGGTTTTAGATAAAGCAACTGTAAGTTTGGGGGAAGAGGGTGTTGCTTTGTTCTGAGTTAAGTTTCTAATCAAAGAACGATCTTGGTTAAAAGGATGAATTTTCATAAGCAGAAACTATTCTGTGTATAAATTTGAAATAGAACCAATAGAACTGTTTTATTTAGTACATTTTTTATGACTGACAAAATAATTGATTGTGCTCCAACAGAAGCACTTCTCCTGTTGGGTAAAATCATTGGATTTTCCGTTCTGCACAACATACACTTGCTTTTAAGTGCGGTTATACCCATCGTTGTTGTGAATTAACGTGATTAGACTTGGGAATTTCTGGACTGGGTTTGTACATAAGGAAATGATTTGGTTTTTTCTTATTCCAAGTAAGCAGACATTATACTTTTTCACATAGAAGTAGTAAGTACAGCCTTGTACAAATATGTAATGGTATGTCTTACACAGGATAGGATTAATTTCGTTATAACTTTTGCTAATTATAAGAGCATATAACAATGGTGGGGTTTAAACAGGTGTCTAATTTGAAAACCACTCTGGTGGAGATACGTCAGAGTGCTCTCAATATCTTGTGCTTCTTGTTTGAAGATAATGTTGATGAGGAATCAGTGACCCACAATGACACAACTGTCTTTTCTTAAGAATATCTATTATCTTTTATTTTTATTTCTTAAGCGTTTGTCTCCCTCTGGTGTTTGTTGTTCCCACTAAAACTATGCTTCTGCACAGGGAACTGACTAAAAACAATTTAAAATTAATCACTTTGAAGATGGAGTATTAAGTTCTGTTGAACAGGGTAGTGAATTGAAAATAGCATTTATGAGTTAGAAAAGCAAAGTGTATGTAAACAGATTGGCAAAGAGTGTGAGCTCATAAATAGACAGGAGTCTTGTTTCTGTCTGCCTCCTCTCTACAAATTCATAAAACAGTTCAGTTCTACTGGTACGTCTAAGTGTGAATGAAACCAAATGCGTCTTGGAAATCTGTATTGACTTAATCTGTCTCTCTTTTGCAGGTACCTATTATTAAACTGACAGATTCCTTCACTGAAGTAAAAGTTGATATAAGCTTTAATGTACAGAACGGGGTTAAAGCAGCCCAGCTCATCAAAGATTTTATCAAGGTTAGGCACCACTGTAACAGCACTACACAGCTGAATATTTGATGACTTAATTTGATTTTCTGTTTTACTTTGACTGCATCCTTACTAGAGATACACTTTCACTCTCTGTTATTTTTTGCTGTCTGATACTATTTTGTGACATTCTTAGGTTTTAGATATATTGCCTTAAAAGGCCTTTTGCATCCCTGCTCAGGGTATGAGGGTGGAGTGGGTCCAGAGACCTCTCTTCCCTCAGCCTCTATCCCATGAACAGAACTTGGTTGTGTTGGCCAACGGTTCCCTGCTAAATCAAGCCCAGTAGTTTTGTGCTGCGTAGCTCCTTGTTGGGGAAAGAAGATGCCCAGATTCTCTGTTGTCAGGCTCCTACCTGGCATTAGGGAGCTGACTTTAGTTTTTACACCCTGTGCATTTAATATTTCAAAAAGGTGATGCTGGGATCTTGGGTTCAATAGGGCTCCCCATACTCACCGTAAGACTCTTGTGTTAGGGAACTGACTTCAGTTTTTATACCCTGTGCATTTAATATTTCAAAAAGGTGATGTTGGGATCTTGGGTTCAGTAGGGCTCCCCATACTCATCGTAAGACTCTTGCAGAGGTTTTGGAGAAGTTCTTCTTTGCCTTTAATCTGTTGCAATCACAGACACCACGATCCACATCCCTTCTCTGACACTGAGGGAGTTTTTAGCTCTGTGTTGATCAGGGGAGTGATGTTCCCAAGGCCCTGTGTGTTGTGGCGGTGCCTTGTTGGGGGCACACACCCCGATTTGGTTTCCTACTGCAGCACGGGGGCTGTGTTTCTGTTGGGCTTTGCATAGAAATTTATTTTTAGATCAGTCCATAAAGCCCTGCGTGCCTGCCCAAAATTGCCTACGTACTTCTTAACTTCAAGATAGGGGGTGGTCTCCTTTCGAGACTCGACAACATTTTTGCATGCTTAAAAAAAGAAAATTTTTAGCAAGTTCCTGTTGCCTGGATTATTTGTAACCTTTTGGAGAGGCTGCTTTGGCCTTGGGGTACAGCCTTTGTACCTCCAGGGTCCAGCCCTGTGGAACCCCAAAGAGCAGAGTGGCTCTGGTGGCAGTAGGCAGGGTCACCTGGCAGCCCAGCAGGCTCAGCCCAGGTCCCCAGCGCGGAGGTGGAGGCTGAGGACAGCGGGTCAGTGGTGAGGGACATCAGTGCAGCCTGGCTCTGCGGGCTCCACGGGGAGCAGCTGAGGTGAAACGTGGCTCTGGAGCGTAGAGTGGGGGACGTTCCTGACCAGGCTTCCCACCTGCACTTTCCCACACGGCCCTTTGCCCAGCAGCCCCAGCCAAGGCCGTGCGGCTCGGCCACGCCGGAGCTGGCCTTGGGCACAGTGGCTGAACCCGGTGTGGCCGGGGAGAGGTGGCACCGGGCCCTGGCACACGGCAGGGGATGGCTCTGCTACCATGGAGAGCCATTTGTTGACCTGGGAGCAAAGCTGGTGTGTGCTCGCCAAGTGACTTCACTGGCCTCTGGAGGGTCTCTCTGTGAAATGCTTGCAGGGCCTTCTCTTGGGTCTTACTTTGCCCCACGTCAGTGAAGACCTAACTCTGATGCGTTGTGTTCAGTGTCACCCTTGGAAATGCCTGTTTTCTTAATCCAGTTTATTTAGAATGTCTGAGGCAGCTGAAGCCTTAATTAAGTTTTGTAGTTTCCTGAGAAAAACCCCGTCTTTAAATTTTGGCTTCTACTATATTCAATACTTCAGCTTGTGACTGTAAGTTCTTAATAGTTCAGAGAGGTGATGTTGGGATCTTGGCTAAGGTTTTCCAGTTTCCTGAGAAAAACCCCATCTTTAAATTCTGGTTTCTACTATATTCAATACTTCAGCTTGTGGCTGTAAGTTCTTCATAGTTCAGAGAGGTGATGTTGGGATCTTGGGTTCAACAGGGCTCCCCATACTCACCGTAAGACTCTTGCAGAGAAGGTTTTGGAGAAGTTCTTCTTTGCCTTTAATCTGTTGCAATCACAGACACCACGATCCACATCTCTTCTCTGACACTGAGGGAGTTTTTAGCTCTGGTTGATCAGAGGAGTGATGTTCCTGAGCCCCTTTTCCCTCCCCTCCCCGTGAGGGGGTGCACAGAGTGCAGGTGTAGCCCCAGCCTCCCCTGCTGCCCAAAGCCCCGCGTTCTCCACGTGTGCAGCGTTTGCACGCCCCTAAGGGAGTCCGTGGGGACAAACCCTTTGAAGGACCGGTCACCCAAAGGTAAGTATTTGGCTCCTTTGAAAATCTTATCCGGGTGTAGTAATTTTGGGGAAGCGTTTTGAGTGTGGGGCATCTGAAGTACCTGCAGGACAGGGCTCTCACTCTGCTTTGGGATGTCTCCTTGGCTGTGGCAGGAAGGTTTTGTTACAGACACGGGTATCTCCATAGCTCCTCCTTTGCTTTCCTTTTCACCTGTATGAGAAAGGCAAGTGTGTTTACTCAAACAAAAGAATTTTGATTTTATGAGGTAATAACTTTTTTCTGTTGTTAATATCTGCCGCCAGAATTGAAGAGGTGAAATAATTGTTGTGAGCACAGGCAGAGAACTTGGCTTCTCCCCTGTTACTAAAAATAATAAGTTAGAATTATACTAAGCTTTGAAACTCAATGTAAGAGATAGCTTTGGTGTGCTTTCTGAGCATCAGCTGTATACGTGCATCACAGTGTCCTAACGCCTTTGTATTTCTCTTTCAGAAATATCCTGTATTACCCTATCTAGTTTTAGTATTGAAACAGTTCCTGTTGCAGAGGGACCTTAATGAAGTATTTACAGGTGGAATCGGTTCTTATAGTCTTTTTTTAATGGCTGTCAGTTTCCTTCAGGTAAGCTCAATGAAATCTGTTGGTGCCAATGCTGCAAAAGGACGTTAGGTTAAGAAGGAATTTAATCAGTCCTTAAATTCAATCATTTAAGTTATCCTGTTTGTGGGTTTGCACCCCCTTTTCAGTTAAAAATGGACACATCCCACCTGTCTCCTGTTCTTTCTCCCATGCCTTTGGTACCTTTTGGTACCTTTGGTGTTAGAGATGTTTGCAACATCTGCTGGTGTATCAGTATCAGGGTTATGCGTCATTCATGGTTAAAAAAACCTTGATATTGTGTAATTGATTTGGAAGAAGCGACACAGGTTGGTGTTAGATGCAGCAGTCCTTGGTTTCCAGCTCCTGAACGCAACAGAATTTTGCTTGTTTGTCCAGGTTTTTAAGCTGGTATCAAATAAACGTGTTTTACAAATTTCTCTTAAATCTAAAAGAAGAAAATACATGAGCTAAATCTGTATCGTTGAGCCTGGGGGGAGAAAAATATTGTGGAAATATGAAATAGCCAAGCTGTGGCTTTATCAATTTTGTTCTTTTTCTTGTAAATGTTACCACATAACTGTGCTGTTGCCCTTGCCTGTTGAGCACAAAAGAAATGAAGGCAACAGCTGTATCATTTGCAAAGAAACCAAAATCCCTCCCAACCCCTACTTTTTCTTATGTTGACTAATAGCATTTCCATGTGCTCCTGCAAAAAAAAAAAAGTCAAGTTTTGCATCTGTTACAATTATGAACTTGTTCATAACTTCTTACTTACAGTAGTACAGGGGATCATTTACATGGCTGTGTAGATTGAAAGCCTGTTTTTGTAGCGTAAGCCCAGGTTGGTGAAGTGCAAACATCTTTGCTTTTTTACAAGAACCCTGCCATTAGTGCTAAAAGTTCACTTACTGAACCGAAAGATCAAATACAAACCCATTAATACATGCCTTACTTTTTAGAGATAATTAGTTTATAAAAGTTTTGCTAGCATCTTGTTTTAAAGATGCAAAACTGCTTTGTCAAGGAAAAATACCGTATTTCGACATGTTTGCTTTATATATTATGTTTTATTATTATTTCTTATTATACTTAAACAAGAAAAGGAACTTAAAAGTACTTGAAACTCGGAAATCTTAAGAAAATGATTTTTTTTTTCTCTCTTCTTAATAGCTGCATCCCAGGGAAGATGCCTGTATGCCCAGTGCCAACTATGGTGTTCTTTTAATAGAGTTTTTTGAATTATATGGACGTCACTTCAATTATCTGAAGACTGGAATCCGAATAAAGGATGGTGGCTCTTACGTTGCCAAGGATGAAGTGCAAAAAAGCATGCTGGATGGCTACAGACCATCGATGCTCTACATCGAAGATCCCTTACAGCCAGGTATCCTCAGAAACCAAGATTTAATGTCTTGACTAAGAAAAAAATGTTAGGGGAATGCTTAATCCAGAGGAGCTAAATCAAAGAATAGCGTAGAAGGACCACCAAAAGCCAGACAGAAACACCTCATTTGTGTCTGGGAGCACAAGATGCACTCACAACACAATGATTTGCTTAAGAAGTGTTCCTGCAAAAGTCACTGTGTCACTGAGAGCGTGCCCGTGCCACAGGTAGGGTATGAGAGAGCACCCCAAAGAGCTTCCACGTGCTCTGTGGTGGCAGCAGTAGAGCTCCAGCAGCCTGGGGCCCAGGGTGGGCTGGATGCACCTGGGTGGACACCTCCTGCTTGCCTGTGTCACTGTTGCACCTTATAATGTACTTGTACACTCCTACGCACGCTCTCCTCTGGCATTCTGTAAAGTCCTTTCCTACTCTGGGATTCTCTAGAGTCCCATCAGTACAGCGTGGTTTCATCCCGTACTGTTACCTTCATGTTAAGGTTAATTGTTGACTTGAATGGGTGGGTCATGTGCTGTTCTTAGAAAAGAATTAACATCTTTTTGATCTAAAAATATGTCATGCAGGATAGTATTTTATATGTGTAATATATGCCTTCTTTTGTTTTTTTTTTCCCCATATTGCACTTTTACCCAGAGAATTGCCATTTTGGACTACCTATAGGTCTTTTAAGCTCTCTCAGATATTTATGATTCACTAATTCTTTTCTATTGCACAAGAAGTAATTGCAGTGAGTTGGGATTTAAGGGTAATTAAAAAAAAATAAATTACTATTTCCTGTCTAAAAGGAGGTAACCACAGTTTAAATCTTATTTATTTAATTAATTATATTCTTATTTTAAGGTAATGATGTTGGGAGGAGTTCCTATGGTGCCATGCAAGTGAAACAGGCTTTTGATTATGCCTATGTTGTTTTGAGCCATGCAGTTTCCCCCATAGCTAAATATTATCCTAACAACGAAACGGAAAGGTAAATTTTATGAGTCTAAATCTCAGACATTAATTGTTTATAAATTTGTGTAGCTAAAAAGGTATCGTGGTGACATTTGGTTTTGTGTTTTTTTTTTTTTTCGTTGGTTTACAGTATATTAGGTAGAATAATTAGAGTAACACAAGAAGTGGCCACGTACAGAGACTGGATATCGAAGCAGTGGGGAATGCAGAGCAGGACAGAGTCTTCCTGTAACGGTAAGTCTTGATGAATCGTGGCTCACAGGGGGGAACTGCCTCCATGTTGTCATCATAAACAGTTCCTTGTTGCTTTTGCCCCACATAAAGCAATGTTTGCATCTTAATAGGAATTTACTTTTTTGCTTAGAGTTGATGGACTTTTTCTTGTGTTCCCATCCGGAAAATTTAGATTTGTACAAGAATGAAAAGGCTGTACCACAACGTCCCTATTGCAGTGCCACAGATGTGCTCAGCACAGAGGGCTGCAAGGAGTGCTGGCTGGCAAAAGGAGGCTTTTGAAAAGCTGCCAATTTAAATGACGTGTGTGGTTACTGTCACACTTCCTTTGTCCTTTAAAGGTGGACAAGGCATGGGTCTGTAGAGCCCTGTGGCACTGCTGTACCCCCTGCTGAGGGCAGACAACCACAGTTCAGTCCCACAAGCTCCAGAGTGACACTTTGGCTACCTCTTGGGATGTGTGCATTGAGCTTTATGCATAAATACAGGTAGTGGGGCAACAAACGTATATTGTATAAATCAGAGGTAACTCTTAGGAATCTTAAGTGAGATAAAACAGTAATTAAAAACATAAAGATCTCTCTGTATCAGGAAGACAGTGCTTGACAGTTACAGTGGTTGTCTTCTTGATTTAGTTTAGGTGTAAGTTCAAATTATATATTGTTTTTTAATTAAGGTAGGAGTTAGTGAGATCCGAGTTTCTGTATCCTGTGTTTTCAGCGTAGGGTATCATAGAAAGCAACCAGACTGATCTGGGCTTCCTGTGACCTCCTTCCAGCAGAAGAAAAGTGGGAGTTGCTGAGTATTGGGCACATGGGAACAGAATTTAAACCTGTGTACCTGAGTGCTGTTGAAGTGTGTCATTAAGCAGGACGTCTGAGCTCTGTTACTGCCTTCTTCCGTGTCTTATCTAATATTCATCTGGAGCTGTGGGTAACGCTCAGGGGTTTTCATAGTGTACATTAATGGGTCTTGTCAGGAAACCACCACACCCTCTGCCAGGTGTTGGCTTCCTGCACACAGTATAGACACACACACGTGTGCTTACATGTATTAAAAGTACGCACGTGTGCAGATGTCTGGACATGTCCTGCTGGAGAGAATAGATATTTAATACCTGAGGGGGGTATTAAAAAAGCAACCTGTTTTAGCAGGTAATGTGTGGTGATGCTTCTGTTTTGTTTTTAATAGGTAATGGAGTAACCTTGATAGTAGATACCCAGCAGCTAGACAAATGCAACAATAATCTTGCTGAAGAGAACGAAGCACTGGGAAAACCTAGAAATAAAACTTCAGAAACACTTAGTAAACATTCTTCAAATTCTTCATCAGGTCCTCTATCATCGTCATCGTCTACACTGTCCAGCTCTAGTGATGTAGTAAGTACTGCAGGTTTTCTGATTTTGATTCAATTTCTTTGGTTTTTTTTTTTTTTTCCCCCTGATTTGTATTGCCACAGAATAAACATTCAGAAAGCTGGGAATCCTAGTTAGTTATTTCATCCAGAATCCTAACTTGCATAAGACGTTACCTCTTATGCAATTTCTACACATGGAAGTTGCAGTGTGTTTTGACACCACACATGTAGAAAGTGAATCTGGTAGATACAGTCACATGGCCCTCTTTTCTCTGGGAAAATTATATTTAAAAAAAAAAAAAAGGCTGGTGGTCCTAAGCCATGTATAAAAAATTAATCTGGGAATTCGATTTAAAAAATAGAAGACAAATCTCCAAATCAGAATTGTGCATCGATGCATTTTTAAATCCATTTACTCAGTAAGAATTCTGGATTGAAAGAGTTTTGATATCTAATAGAATAAACATGTTTTAAGTTTTGTCCACTTCAGCTTTATTTTTAAGGGAAAATTCACTTTCAGAAAATCTCACTCTTAAGAGAAACTCACTAATACTTTAAATTTTCCTGAAGGATTCTGATGGAACACCTTGCAAAACCTCTAAACAGTTGAGTTGTCGTCAGTCTACCACAAACAGAGTGGGGTCACAAGAAGTGTCACTGGAATCCTCCCAGTCAAGTGGGAAAACACAAAATAGCCAAACAGCCAATACATCCAGCAACACGAACAAATCTCAGGTTTGTGAAATGTTTGAAAACAACAACTGTATCGATGATTTGAATATTTCCCATGCCCTCCATGGAAGGGTAGCTCGTTCTGGAAAGGAAACACTGCATTTTTCTCTTCCACTTTACCCCACTAGAAAGCCTTGAGCACTGATTGTATCTAAAATCCCCTGGTGCCCTGTTTTGCAGAGATGAGTTTACAGCAGTGGCTTTCCCAGCCTTAAACCCCATGAGATTGGATTGACTTCATTTTGGGAAATCTAGATTTGCCAGAAGCATACAGTTGTGTTGCACCCATTTCCGTTGTGCAGAAAGCACACCAGTCTGGTCTTTACTGCAGAATTTGAGAACTAATGAGCCTTGTCTACACTTTAGCAAAAAACAGCAAAAATGTATTTTTACAAACTATGCCTGGCTGCTGTGTTAGCTGTTGATGCTTGTTGAAATGTCTCTCATTAAAGGAGATGAGGATACTTTGCTGATGCATGAAATTCCATCTCATTCCTTCTCATCTATGATGATGATTTCCCCCTAAAGAGAAATATATTTATGATGAGACCTACCAGAACTTATGCATTTAGGGGATTTCTAGTGTTGAAGAATGCTTCTGTGACAGCTCAGTCATCTGGACATATTATATCCCTCTATATACAATAGACTTTGGATAGATGCAGTTTTAATTTTTATACTTTTTCAGAATTTAGCATTTCTGTAATGTATGAAAATTAGTCTGGAATCTTCTGGAATATTATTCCTGAAAAATAAATTCTGAAGACTTGCTGCCCCTTTCTTGCTGACGATCTCTCTCTAGCTAGTGACGAGACAGTTTAGGAACCAGGCCTTGGATATAGCATGAATTGTGTGTTTGTGTGACTACGCACAGCTAATTCTGGTTCTGGAATGTGAATACCCATGGTCCGAGATACTCTACATCTGTAAAAAGATGTGGTATAAAATTAGTCCTGGTCTTAAAAGAATGTTATCTTGATTTTGCACAAAAGATGAGATTTGAGCAATTTTCTCATCGGTCTTCTTGGATTATGGACTTAGGTTTCTCTAAAAGATTTTTTTGATGGTTGCAAGATGGGCACGATAGAACAGTTTTATCCTTTTCAAAATTCAAAGTGCTCCACTCCCCTCACTTGACCTGCGTGGCTTTGGGTCTAGAGACCAGCATTTGTTTGCAGCCACCAAAGTGACAGCTTGGTGGTTCTGTGCCGCTGGCTGAGCGAGGGCCCACCTTCTCTTGCCCTATCAATTTTTCCAAGTGTGACACTTCCATGAGTTAGCGTCCTCGTTAACCAGAAATAGGCTTGTGTAGTCGCCACGCTTTTCTCTTTTTAGCACTCAATTTACCAATTTCTCTTTCTTTTACAGCATGGATCTGCACGGTTATTTCGCTCTTCTAACAAAGGCTTCCAAGGTCCAACAAACTCAAGCCACGGTACCTCAGTCACAAACAAACAACATCAAGGCAGCAAATCACACCATCAGTTTTTCCACGGCAAAAAGAGGAAACACAAGAGGGATGCGGCCCTTTCAGACCTTTGTAGATAGTTGCCTATTTTATGACTGTTCTTCTGTGTGCAATGATCTCATGCTACAGGATAGTTTGATAGTGACTCCTTGGATCTCTTCCGGAGCTTCAGACTGTTCAGACATTGATTAGCAACTGCATTTTTTTTTCCCAGCTCGCCACGGAACGGATCATGAAGATTGATCACTGCAAAAAAAAAAAAAAAAAAAAAAAAAAAAAAAAAAAAAAAAAAAAAAAAAAAAAAAAAAAGGAGAAAAAAAAAAAGAAAAAAATTAAAAAGAAAAAAAAAAGAAAAAAATTTTAAAAAGAGGAAAAAGGCTGCTCATTTGATAAGTCATATGCTACAACAGGGTCATTTAGGATATAAAAGCTTGAATGTAAAATAAATGTATTTCCCATCAGCTCATGCTGACCTGTAGAGGTAGTACTCAGTGTGTCTAGGGGGTGGTAACAAACAAATAAAACACAAAAAATAGGAAAAAAAAAAAAAAAGCAAAAAATTGTATTTTGAGGGAAACCCAGCCTTTAAAGGTGAAAGTAATTTGTGCATGATTTTTTTATTATTTTTGCATATACTTACCATTTTATTGTGTATATATAGATGACCATATAGGAAAACTGACATTTGTAATAGTGGATTTGTTAATACTTTTTACATAACATTACTGTTTAAATTGTAAACATAAATTTTTCTCAGGATTAGTTTGGAAAATAATCTGAATTGTCATCTTAACATCCATATAAAGAGACATTACTAGTTATATTGCTCAGAATTTCTTTTCTTGGCATTTAAAAGATTCAATAGAACATTTGATCTGCAAAAGCTGTTCCTCTGAAAGAAAGGTTTATGGTGGCAAATGAAGTTTTTTCATTTGTATAAAGTGTACATGTACTTTGTGTAGACACTGAGCTTGTCATCTCGGAGAAGTAACCTTCACCTTGTTTTCTAGAGTGCCATCATTTCAGGCAATGGGGTTTTATAGTTGCATCCTTCTCTTCCTCCCCTTAGTGGTCTCTCCCTGACCCTTTCCTTTTTTTTTTTTTTTAAAGAAATATAAAGCCACTTGGGGGGGGTTGTTTGGTTGTTGTTGGTGATCGTTTTCTTCTTTATTATTTTTTTTTTTCGGTTTTAAAAAAACAAACAACAAAACTCAGTTTGTTACAGATGTTTGCATTCCTGGGCTGCTTTAATCCCATGCCTCTTTGTTTGTGCCTTCCCTCCCTCTTCCAGGTCTGGGTTTTTTTGTCTTTTATATTTTTGCTAACTCCTGTAGGAGATGATAACTGTTGAAGCTTTAAGTAAATTTTACAATTAAAGTATTTTTTTCTCACTCCCCTCTTAGGCCTTTTTATATTTACACTTAATTGTTTAAAAAAAAAAAACAACCACAAAACAACTTCAAATAATGAAATATATTTTGTATTGCCTTAAAGACCCAAACCTTTCATATCTCACATAGTATTTCTTCATTGATCTGGTTATCATTTAATTTAAACTCTGCGTTTGTCTGGTTCAGTCGCGTTACAGCTCTGGGTTCCAGTAACTTTGATGCCATGACTGCGAATTAACTGTGTAATTACACTCACAGGCGTAGCTTGGAACAGGCGTTGGGACACTTCAGTGGTAGAAAGTTAAGTGGCATTTACTTTCACATATTTCTTTAAAGAGGAAAGTCTGTACTCGGCACACGTGGCTGTATTTAATGCAGCTCTTCTGGAGATGATGCTTTTATAAAAAGTACTATTAGCTTTTAGAAACGTTTTTTTTTTTATATACATTTACAGAATACTACAGACCAACCTGACCTTTAATGGGCACTAATAAGTGCAATGATTTTTAAAAGTAAAATAATGCTAAAATAAGACCAGAACTGATATCGTCACTTAAATTAATAAACATTTTCGATGTGTTAAAGTGTTTTACTTCAAAAAAGAGAATATATATTTATTCCAAAAATATGGAAAGTCATAACATTTACTCAAACACTAAGCTTAAGCGATGTTAATTTGACAATGTTTTTTTTTAAATTTTAGATTCATATTTTAATTTGATCAAATAATTTTATCAGCAAGATGTTGAGCTTTTGTTCATAGAAACTAGTAAAACTTGTACCACATTATGCATAATCACAGTATTTATTTTGTTTTAGATTATTGTGAATGTGTAGACTTATGTTCACCGCTTAGGGAACAATTATTTATAAATTATATTAATCCAGTATTGTTAGCTGCTATTAGCAAAACTGTTCCAAAACTTAATACTTGCAAAGATCTGTATCGCATTTACCACACTGAAGTGTTTTTAAAAGAATCACCCTCATCGTTGAAAGCAAATGTACTCTTAGGGTGCAGATATTAGTGTTCCAATAAGCATGTGATAATTTTAAGGTGGTGGTAGCGGGAAGATAATCTTGATTCCATTGGGAATCTTAGGTTTGCCTCAATTTATGGTTTTCATAAATTTAATGGAAAATAGCTTTTCCTGGACTGCTCAAGTTTCTTTTTGGTAAACAGTATCTTTCTAAAAGAAAAAAAAAAAAAAAAAAGGAAAAAAAAAAAAAGCATGAAGGAAAAATTGAGGTATTTTACATTGCCTCAAATGACCAGCATTGTATTCATAAAATACTGTATATCTTGCAAATCTTTATTTAAACAGAACAGTTGAACTGTTCGTTTTTCAATCTGAAGTAAAATACTTTCAAGACCTTTTAGTTTGCCTGCTCATTTGTCTTGTACATTTCATCTCTGTATTTGACTCAAGTCTAATTCCTTTTTGAGTTTCAATACTTTTGTGAAGATTTTGTGAATATATGAAAAAATAAATGTTTAATCTAACTACTGCAGTTTATCACCATTCTTGACGCTTACCCTCTCTTTTCCTTCACAGTCCTGTGGGAAGAGCAGACTACTCAAGGCGCTCGGTAACGCTTTTGTAGTTTGTGAGTGCTCCCCCAGCTGAGCGCTGGGACCCTCTGCCTGGAGAGTGGAAGCTTGGTTTGGTCAAGTGTCCTGGTCTGCTCTGGTTCCTTCCAGGAGAGCGGAAGCAGAGTGTGTAATGCCCGAGAATGAGTGGAAGAATATATACATCTATAAAGGGTTCTTACTGTGTTAGTTTTCTCTAACTTTGCACTGTACATGGGAAGCTCGTGCAAGGATCTGTTGGCTTTGGGCTGGATGTGGTGTTCAGCTGCGGGATGGCCAACGTTCAAGCTGCCATGTTGAGGGCGGCGTGCTAGAAACATGCAAAAGTTAATTTGAGTTACCTTCAGCTAGAAAGCAGTGCTCAGTGTAGTTCCTGAAGCGTGGCTAGTATTACTAAAGCATGGCCTTGACTTTTGTCATCTTCCTTCCTGGTATAAATGGGTAGGGAAATGTACTGAGAGTTCATCTTCTTGCTGCTGGTATCTACCAAAGACCATCTGAAAGACATAAATAAGCTGAATTGTTAATATATCTTCCTGTTTGACATTAGATTGATTTGTTAAGGGTTTTTTACTTCTTTTTGAAAGACTAGTTCAAATGGTGGTTACAGTTAAAAGCTGTGTATTTATTAATATTTTTTTAAATTGTCAGTCTTCTACCTTGTGACAGAAAAGAAGCCGAAATGTAAGTAAATCTTCCTGTTTGTGACACACGATGTGATGCTGTTCACTGGCCTCCCTGTTCTGCGCAGCTTCCTCAGAACTTACAGCTCAGCTTTTTAAATGTTTATAATAAACTTGTTTTCCTAGAATTTAATCTTTAGAAAAAAATTAGTAGTCGAATGGCTGGTGGCAACTTTTTAATGTACTTAAAAAGTGGACCTTTTCCATTTAATATCTGGAGTCGTGAGTGCATCCTAAAAATAACGTGAGCAACCCATTAGGGAAGAGTCTCATCCTGAGAAGGGATTGTAAATAAAAGCAGCCAGCCATTCGACATCTCGATGGATGTTAAAACTGAATTTGTGACTCCAACTTTATTTCCTGAAGAGTAAAAGCTATAGGAGATTACAAAGTATGTAATTTATCAAGAAGGGACTATATTTACTCATTTAGATGCTGTAACAAAAAGTACATTTAATTATTCCAGCTACTGTTAAAGTGGAAAAAGTAGTGACTATTTATTCTGCTGACTCCTAGAACTTTGAGTTGCTTAATTAATGATGTAAAATAATTTTATAAGAATCGAATTTACCATGTCTTGAAACTGTTTGTCTTGAAAGCGCAAAATTTAAGTTTTATTTTCTAGCTAGTTTGTAGTTATTCCACAAGTTTTCCTCAAAAGTGTTTAAATTTACCATGTCGTGAAACTGTTTGTCTTGTTATTCCACAAGTTTTCCTCAAAAGTGTTTTCCAGTTGCAGTGACCTAAATGTGAATGTGTCCTGACTGTATTTCCCTGAGTCATTTACCAGCCGTTCTCACAGATTTATATTCGAGGTTTCATCTATAAGTTGAAAGCAGCTTTACAGTTCTGGTGGTGCTTAATTACATCATGGTTGTAGATATTCCCCTGCCAAAGTCACTGGGCTCCTCACAGTAGTAGTTTGCTCCGAGCCTAATTAGCTAATTGTCAAAGGTTGGTTGTTAAGGATGTTTGAGGTGATCCTAGAGAAATTCTCCAACACCAAGAATCTTTTGGAAGTTAATGAAAAATGTCCTGTGTAACACAGGAATTAGAATTCAAATGGCCTTTTTGGGTCTTTTTACAAGCCCAAAGTTTGTGTCAAGTATCTGCTTGGAAAGGAAATTAGAATAAAAGAGAAAGTGGCTGTTACTTGTGCATTTTGGCACGGTAGTGCTAGATCAAATTAATCTACATTTCAGGTTACTCTAAAATTTAGATCAGTTAATTTTTATTTTAATTCTTAATATATTTAGTGATTTCTCCACCATGACTATGTTATCGATTTGTGGAGTCCAAAACATTCTACCAGGAGTGAGGTGCCTTTGGTGGACACCTTGGCCGTAGACGTGGGTGGGGTACAGTTCTGTAGGCTTCTCTCTTGGCAGTAGCTGGCTTAAAAGTTGCCTGTTGCCATTTGCTCCTTCCTATAGCAGTGCAACCAGTGGGGAACTTGGATGTTTATCAAGCTTGGGGAAAAAAAAAAAAGGAATATGAATCTTTAGTTTGCTGTAAATTAATTGGTAAAAGCTGATGGGATCCTGGAAAAGAAATAGGGAATATGAATCTTTAGTTTGCTTTAAATTAATTGGTAAAAGCTGATGGGATCCTGAAAATCACTTATGTACACAAATAAATAAGGTAAGGCCAAGAAGATATCATGGAGAATCCTGCACATAGAAGCCATTTGGAGGAGAGCCATCTTTCTGCCTTCTGAGGTGCATGGACCATGTGGTGCTGCGAGTGAGGCTTCTGGTGAGTCAGTTTGCTCAGCCCTACTTCTTCGGGATACTGAGTGACCCGAGCAGTGAACCTGCTCCCTATGGAAGGATGCTAAAGACTTCCAGGTTCTGCAGCAGGTTTAAGTAGCTTCAAAGGTGTTTATCGGTAATGGTGTGTCTTGGTTCTGCTCTCTCCTGCTAGGAGTCCTTCAAAAGATGTCTTTTTAATCCTTGATGGCTTTTGCTATTTTAAACTTGCTGAATTGGGTCTCCTAATCCTTCTAATTAACTCTTGAGTCCACCCTTTGGTTTTGTGGTCCAGAGATTTGGTGGTGAATATGGCATTTATCAAATCCTGTCCCATGGGCTGCAGTGAAGCAGGGAAGGGATGGAGATTGATAGTGCTTTAAAAAGAATATTTCCTGCTGCTACGATTGCTTTTAAAAGAAAAAAAACTACAACCCTCATTAATTCAGCAGCAATATTTCCTGTTCCTACGACTGCTTTTAAAAGAAAAAAACTACAACCCTCATTAATTCAGCAGGCTGAAGTAGAAATACGGCCCCCTAACCCTCATACATCCACACTTGAATCTAGTTTTCTGTGCAAATCATTCAACAATCTAATGTTCAGATGCTAGGTTGATTTTTTAATTAATTTTTTTTTAAATCCTTCTGTATAATGAAGTCCTAATTTCCCATAGTACAAAACACCTGAGGAAGAAACCACTTGGCGGTGTGCAAGAGCTGGCTTGTAAAGAATGCGTTTGGATGGTGGTGGAGGAACTCCGAGGAACCATGAATGCAGATTAGGTGAGTTCTGCTTGTTTAAAAAGAAAAAAAGCTCTTGTTACAGGTATATAAAACTACTTTTGCTTATGTATGAAGCAATGTTTGACTCTTGAGCTGAAAGATCATTGAGCAATCAAATGCTTATGAATAGCTATTAGAGAAAGTAATCTGTGCTCTCAGCTGCGTTTTCCCAGGTCTAAAGTTCATTTACTGCACTGGATTTGGTGACAGTGAAATCTGAAAACAAACCTGGTTCAGATGGCTTCTTTACGCTGCCAGGCAATGTAATACAACAATATCTTTCCTGAACTTAAAGCTTCCATCTTAAAAAAAAACCAAAACAACAAAAACCAAAAGAAACCCAGAAACCCACCTTTGTGGTTTGTGTGCAACAGATTTTTGCACCAACAGTAGGAAGAATATGCATTAATGGTTGCTGTTTGCATTTCCCTCCTCCTGTGGCCTATTTCCAAACAAGACCATTGTTCATTTTTACAATAAGTAGGGGACTGATTAAGGTTGGGTCGGGTTTTTTTTCCTCTTCACCATAGTGGATCTTGAATCGAACCTGCGTGGTTGCCTGATAGTAACTATGACAAGGCCATTCTCAGTCAGAAAAATCAATGGCTCAGCCAACAGTGGGTAGAAATCTTTCATATTGTCTTCCTTCAATGCTAGCTTGTTTGCTTTTTCTTTTCAAAATGTTTGACAGTGCAAGGGAGGAATAATTTATAAAATAATGTAGCCTTCTGTAAGATTTTTATTCATCCCAAAGCGTGCCTTACTAAATCTGTGATACGATATCAACTTTTATTCATTAAGATAACATAATAAAACAATCTAATTCCTGAAAACTTGAAGTATCTCTGAGCTGCAGTGTGTGCCCTCTAGTGAATCAGTTTTGTGCAGGGTCTGAGCAACACATTCCAACTAGGAAAGGTAGCACGAAGGCTTCTATTTATAATGTTTGTATGCAGACAGTAGCACCCTCAGGTAGTGGCAGCTTATCTGGTATTGCTGAGCTGCTGCCTGCACTTATGCATCCTAAATCCCACAGAATTCCTCTACTCTAAGGGAATAGCTGAAAAAAATGAGTTTTGTTACCTAAAAAAAAAAGAAAAAAAAGAAGTGGAAGCAATATGAGTAGTGTGAAAAGCCTACTAAAGTAGGGTAAGGGCAGTACCGGCCGTTGCAGCAGGATGCCCTGGCACCAGACCAGCAGCCTTCTCCACCTCCTGCAAAATGGGCCAGAGACCACCACAGCCACCTCTCACTGCCCCAGGCCTGCCTTCCTACACACAGGGCTTTATATAAATACATTTAACAACTAAGTACTTCTAAATTCTTCAGAACAAAGTCACATGACGGTCTGTCAAAACCAGAACAAACTTCTTGGAGAGTATGGGCAAATACAGAAGCTGGGAATCTGGAAGCTGAAGCTTTTACGTAAAAGGGCAGGAATCCAACTTTTGCAGCTACAGAGAGGGCCAGTCTGGTAACTTTACTGTGCGTGGGTGGTCTGATTTAAACAAACAAACAAAACAACCCCTAAATCTCAAATGGTGTTACTGCTCTGTATTTCTGTTGAATAATATTGTAGACTACGGTGGTGATTTTAGAGTATTTTTGAAGTAAAAGCAATAGAAAACAATAACAAGTCATAAAATAATGCTAGTTCTATAGTTTGCATATTAACTACTTTTTTGTTCTAGTTCTATCAACGCTTAGACATAAAAATCTGTCCACAAAAAAACAGTTGCTGTGAACTCTAATTACTGTATTTGTACATTTGGGAGAGTCTGAATGTTCTGGTGTTGCTTAGTTAAGGGAAAACTACAGTTAGCAATTGTGATGAGCTGGTGCAATACTCAGAGAACATAAATTAGAACTGATGTTTACTTTTCTGATGTCACTACTAGAAAGTTATTTATTTTCAGTTTGTGTCCTTATCCATGTCTCAATTTTTGTATACTTTTTCTACCTTTGTGCCTCATCTGGCCTGTATGGAAATCACAGCTGTCCTGTGCTACAGCTGGCTGCTGGCATCAGTTAAGACTTAATTTTCTGAGCTGGATGGATGACTGTTAAAGAACAGCCAGCATCCATATCCATTTTTTATACAATTGTGTTAGCTAGCTACATTTCTCCCTGTTTGGTAGTCTGTGCACACAGAAAAAATTTACCATAACAATACCAGTACAACCCACCATCACGTGGACATGTTAAAGGACAATCCTTATCCTGAAATTAATCACTTCCCAGCTGATTTCAGTTAGTGTGTTGTACGGGAATAGTGAAGATGTGGTATGAGCAGAATTTTAATATTACTACGTCAATAAAAATTCTTAAATTTTATTGCAAAGGAGAGAAAGCTTTGCTGTTGCGAATTTGAGGTTACTCATTTTCCTTACTCTGAGATCTACCACTAAAAGCCCAGTTCTGTTGAATTTAAGGGGAGTTTTCTTACTGAATTCAGTGAGATCAAATTTATCCTGTTTTTTCTTTGATTTTTCAATCTCCTGATTTCAGAGCTTTGAACACTTTTAACTTTTTGGGTTTTTAGGCAAAAGCAAATGCATATAAATCAGTAGAGTGATTAGAAAGATGCAGACATTTTGCTGGGTTCCAGACCACTCATTAACACTTAGTGAGGTGAGACAGGCTCTTCAAACCTCCTTGCCCCATATTTAATAGCATGTGATGTCTGGTGGTACCAGGATGGGTTTGGATATTGGTCATGTGAGCAATTAAATGACACCATCCGTCACTGCTGCAGCAGAACTCAGTGATTTCAGGATATTAAGAAACTTAAACTTTTCCCATCTTAGTCCCTTTCAGCTTTGGAATAGTTATTATATGGGTTTGTTGTAAATGACCAACTATTGGGAGGAAAACACAGTCCATTTCTCAGCATAAAGGAAAATAAAGGGAGGGCTATGTTCTTGCTCTGTATTGTCTCCTTAAAATCACCATTGCAATCTAAATAAACTAATCTTCAAGCTACTTCCTTAAGCTCAGTATGTTAATATAAAAGGTATATCAGGTAATATAAATATTTTTATTCCAATGGCTTCAGTATAACAGGGCTGTGTTGATTTAACCAGATTAAGTTTGTCCATGCACTTTCAAAATTGCTTTGTAACAGACCTTTTTTGTTTGTTTGTTTGTTTTAGTCAATCCATTACTAGTGGATTCTCCAGGAACTTTCTATTCCAGAATTGTATTCAGATTTACGTAAAAGCATTTTTTCCCTTATACACAGTCCATTTGTTCCTTACTGATTTTTCCAAAGTATTCTTTTCTTCCCAATATGCCCTCCTGGCTACTGACCCTTATAATATACACAGTCCATTTGTTCCTTACTGATTTTTCCAAAGTATTCTTTTCTTCCCAATATGCCCTCCTGGCTACTGACACAAAGATACTGGAAGTGCAAATTGAAAACAGTTAGCTAAATAGTTTCATTATTCACTGTGAAAATAAAATGATCTGTTCTTTTCTGTGTTCTTTAAATCAATAACATCTTCCATTTTGTTATCAACTCCACCTGCAGTCTTATGGTATCTAACAGAGAAATGGCCCTCCTTTAATTTATTTTCTTCCCTTGTGTAACTTACCAATTAAGGAAAAGAAAGAGTTGACCCCTCAATAAGATCATCATAACGGTTTTCTAGGAAGTCACAGACCAGATCTTCTGTCACTCAGCATTGTTGAGAGTAATTCAATTTCTAGAAGAAAATGTTTCCATTTTAATACAGGTCAACTTGTGTATAAAGCAAGATTTAAAATCAAGTCTGATCTATAATCCTTCCTGCAGTCCGAATCACACCCACAAGTGCAGGTAAAAGGCATAAGCGATTACCCAGGCACTGATTTTTCAAGGCACAATGCATATTCTCGCTCTGGAGAAAGACCTTGAAACATGAGCAGGGGAGAAGATGAAGATTTTTTTCTGATTCTTATACCAAGAAGTCACACAAAACCATGCTATCCCAGGCTCTGGAGTTTGAATTCCTAAGGCCTTCGGTTCCTCTGGAAACCAGCATATTAGCTCCTCAGTCACATCAGTTTTTTGGACTGTTAGTACTTTTCCTTATGCCTTCAATCCTTTCACAGTGCTGTGAGTTTGCATTGGGATTGAAGTTTTCTTTGGAGAAATTACTGTTGTAGAATTAAGTCCCACTGACTTTCACGAAATCTGGAATGCTAAAAATGCTAGACTCTTGGACAGCTTTAAAAGAAATAACAAATAGGACAAGAGACCTGAATAGCTTTTCATTTCCCAAAAGAAACATGTACAGCATTTATTGCTTTATTTACAGAAAAGCAGCAAATGATTCCCAAAAGTCTGCTCAATTGGTGCAAGGACCTAAAAATGCAAACTATGTAACAGCAGTGGAACTCTACCTTCTCTTTAGCCTGGCTGATGCAGTAAGATACTTCTGCATTTAATAGCATAAACCTAATGGACTTCGGCAGTTGATTTAAATATTGTCCTGTAAATGAGGGTGATAGCAATGTAGCAGCTCACAATGATTTCTCATTATGTCCTTCCTAAGCATGTACTGCCTCGCACTTTGGGATTGTTCTGTTATCTTTATAGGAAATAGAAAATAATTTACTCAAGTTATTTGTCTCATTCTATAAATTGATCAGTAGCCACAGAGAGTATTGTGTGGGTATGCACACTGGTATATACAATCATAGAATGGTTCAGGTTAAAGATCATCGAGTTCCAGCCCCCCTGCCTGCCTCGCACTTTGGGATTGTTCTGTTATCTTTATAGGAAATAGAAAATAATTTACTCAAGTTATTTGTCTCATTCTATAAATTGATCAGTAGCCACAGAGAGTATTGTGTGGGTATGCACACTGGTATATACAATCATAGAATGGTTCAGGTTAAAGATCATCGAGTTCCAGCCCCCCTGCCCTGGGCAGGGACACCTCCCACCAAACCAGGTTGCTCAAAGCCCCATCCAGCCTGGCCTTGAACCCCTCCAGGGATGGGGCAGCCAGCTTCTCTGGGCAACCTGTTCAGTGCCTCACCACCCTCACAGTAAAGAACTTCTTTCTAATATAGATAGATCTAAATCTCCCCTCTTTCAGTTTAAAACCATTACCCCTTGTCCTACGGCTACACTCCCTGATAAAGAGTCCCTCCCTATCTCTCCTGTAGCCCCTTTAGATACTGGAAGGCTGTTATAAGGTCTCCCACCTGTTCCAGTGCCTCACCACCCTCGCAGTAAAGAACTTCTTTCTAATACAGATAGATCTAAATCTCCCCTCTTTCAGTTTAAAACCATTACCCCTTGTCCTACGGCTACACTCCCTGATAAAGAGTCCCTCCCTATCTCTCCTGTAGCCCCTTTAGATACTGGAAGGCTGTTATAAGGTCTCCCCGGAGCCTTCTCTTCTCCAGGCTGAACAACCCTCAGCCTGTCCTCATAGGAGAGGTGCTCCAGTCCTCTGATCATTTTCATGGCCCTTCACTGGATAGGTGCTAAATAAATGCAAATAGATGCTAAATCTCATCCAAAACAACAACAAAAAATAGTTAAAATAAATACTTCCTGCCATGGCATTCAATAAAGACATCAACTTACTCCTGGCTTTCTGAATCGGAATCATGAAACTAGTGAAGAAAAGTAGAAGTTAAGGTTGTCTTGGTCACTGTTTCTGGATATTTGAGGAACTGCAAAAAGGCAGCATGATAAAGCATGCTTTCCTAAATGCTATATCTGGTGTGGTACTGCAGGATGTCAAAAGAATATTTAAAAGGAGTGTATATATTTAAAAGTCTACCTGTTAATTTTAAAAGTACTAGTTAACATATTGTGCTACTTAGGATTCTCTTATGTCTAACCCACAAAACAGTCTACTGTATATTAATTTTCAAATTATTCCTAAGGATTTAAAAGAATATTCTCTTAGGTTAGAACTACTCTTCTTATTTGCTTTGATCACATATTTATTTGGTCAGCAACCATCATCTGTATCCTAGCTGACTCATTTTTTGGAGACACTGAAAATCTGAATGTTGAAACACTTTGCAAATAAAATGATTTAGAAGTGACTTGCTGAGACCAAATGCTGTCATCTCCTTTACTACTGTGAATAGTACCAGTGGGCACATACTGAAGGCAGACTCAACCCACAATGACTTATTAAGAGGAAAATGTAACCCCTCACATGAGAATTATATTTAAAGATTACTATGATTTTCTGCTTCTGCTTCTTTTAAAAATAGTGATCTCTCCCTATTTCATAATGATTCATGGCACTGGGTACTAAGGCAATTCATACTGAAGCACACATCCGCATTCTACAAAACAGACTTCTGTAATGCTCTATAACTCAGTTTGTAGATGACATTGCAAGTTGGTTTGGTATAAACACCCTATCTACAAATAATTTAAATAATAAAATTCAAATTATTTTTTCCATTTTCTATGTTAAATTTTACCAGCTAATGTGGTGCATTTTATTTTAATTAAAAATCTAAAATTATTTATGATAGATTATAGGTATCCTATTCAATCTTTGGAAATATTAGATTTGTGCATTTAATACTCTGGTTTTATACATTCAATATGTATGTATCATTGCAGAGCTGCTGTACTTTTTTTCTAGGGAAGGGGTTGAAAATAAGGTTTGCTTGTCTATGAAGAACACTTGCACAGAAGCAAGTAGTACCCAAGGGATTGCTTTATTCTAATTTGGGCATCATTTCAGGTGCACCCTCGATTAAGGGCAATGTTTTGACAATATCAAACACTTGTAGTTATCACACTCAAATAAGAGATTTATTTTAGAACAATCTCTAGGTGCAAAAGATAAACCACTAAAATGACAGGGTAGGTGCTATCACTTTTTCTCAGAACTTTATGCTTGGGTAGTGGCATTGAGCAGGGCTCCCCGCAGTGTCAGGTGCTCTCCAGTAAGGGGTGGTAGCATCTGCGTTGTGAAAATCAGCCCTGACTGTACTTAACTCAAGAGAGAAATCAGCAGGGGAAGTCTATACGTAGCATAAACAGCAGCTAATTCACTGAATATTAAGTTCCACGTGTTGCTTTTTTCCTTTTCCATTTTGCTAGAAACGTGCTATAGCAATTACCAATAGCTGAAGAATAATCTGCACAACAGCGTACACACAACACTTACTTAGACTGTTTTGGAACTGCTGCTGTTAAAAAAAAAATCAGAATGTTAGTCGCATTGAATCATGCAGGAATTTTAGATCTTACTCTGGGATAGCAAATATTTGTGGGTATACAGAAATGATGTTAAGCAATCTGTGTACTCAGAAGGTCCACGAAATTTTGATGAAGTGGTAAATGGAGTCCATCTGTTCTGAAACGGCTCCATTTATGATCTCAGCAGAACAATGTATTTTCCATTTCCTGCAGTTTTTAAATCTTGTTATCTAATCCAACTCTCAGTGAAGACAAGGAATTCTTTTTAACAATCATTTTACTGGAAGATCCTTTTTCTTCTCTCCCCTAAGAAACGGTCTGAATATCCTACGCACTGCTTCCATCTGAATGCTCCAATAACTTCCTAATGCTTTTCAGATACACAATGTCCACGGCAGGACAGGAAGCCCTAGGTAAGATTAAGTAACTTGCTCAAGACCGCGCATAGAAGTGTCAGGGCAGAAGGGTAGGGAGCAGAGGAGCAGAGTCCAGCTCACTTGCTGCCCAGTCCTGTGCCTCAGGTACGTAACCACTTCTTCTCTGACTGTATTGCTCATATACTTGTCCCACATTGCTGAAACTGGACTTAAATTCCTTCCCAAGATTCCCAGTCCTAACAGCCCAAAGGGATCCTAATGGCTGGGCAGTCTCAGAAAACGCAGTTGCTATTTGCTCACCAACACTCAAGCCAGGAGCTTAGAGGGTCAAATCAGTTGGAAGGGACCTTAAAAATCATCAAGTTCCAGCTCCCCTGCCATGGGCAGGGGCACCTCCCTCCAGACCAGGTTGCTCAAAACCCCATCCAGCCTGGTCTTGAACATCTGGGGCATCCACAGCTTCTCTGGGCAACCAGTTCCAGTGTCTCACCTCCGTCACAGTAAAGAATTTCTTTCTAGTATCTAATCTAATTCTCTCCTCTTTCAGTTTAAAACCATTATCCCTCGTCCTATGGCTACAGTCCCTGATAGAGTCCCTCTCCAGCTCTCCTGTAGGCCCCCTTCAGATACTGAAAGGCTGTTATAAGGTTTCCCTGGAGCCTTCTCTTCTCCAGGCTGAACAACCCCAACTTTCTCAGCCTGTCTTCATAGGGGAGGTGCTCCAGCTCTTTGATCATCTTCGTGGCCCTCCACTGGACCTGTTCCAACAGGTCCATGTCCTTCCTGTGTTGAGGACTCCAGAGCTGGACACAGTACTCCAGGTGGGTCTCACAAGGGCAGAGTTGAGGGGTAAGAGCAGAGTAGGGGGGTAAAAAAGAAGCTGTCGTGCTTGTGTGTGTGCTGAACTGCTGTTCCCTCCAAGGGGGTCAACTCAAGCACGTAACTCATGCCTACGGAGAATAGAAAATACCAGCTGGGTAGCAGTATACAAATAAAAATTGCTGTATTTAGTTAGTAACGTGTTATCTCAGTGCAGGTACGATGGTGGATGACTAACGTTTGGTTATAGCTGTAGGTAGGCACCTACCTGCCATGGGCTGCATGCGGTCACCTGTGACTAACACTTCCCTAGATAAACTTAATCCAAAAATCCACAGAAATCAGCGTTTCTTTCCATTACTCGCAATGAGCTTTGGATCGGACTTAGGTGTGGTAGAGCCAGGCTCGCTCGGAATTAGTGGCCAGATGTTCAAGGCTTGATATGCTGAGGAATCGCTGCCAGCCTGGTGAAACCCTCCCAGGGCACGCTGAGAGGCCCAAAGCAGTAAGTAAATGGAGGAATGGCAAACTGGTGCTGCGGGATGGCCTCAGATGGCCTGTGAGGGACAGGTCCCTTGTCCCTGTGTGCTGTGGGGAGGCTCGGAGCCTTGCAGAAACACCCACAGAGTGGCCAGTTTGTTCTTTTTTTTTTTTTTAAACAAA